TGGCTCGCTGAACGGAAGTTCCAACTAGTTGGGAGACAGTAGCCCTATGTAATCCGCTCGGTTCTCTCTAGATGTCCCAGCTGCAGATGAATGCATAGTTTAAAAATAACTTTTCCTTAAATAGAGGATGGGACCAAGGCATCTTCCCTTCATTCTTCAGAAACAATGCTTCTATCTGGCCCAGCCACATGAACAATACTCTCCCCCCAACTTCCTGCCATTTCCTGTAACATCAGAGCGAGCGCTGGCCATCTCGGCTTGGCAGTGCGCCTTGCAACACATCGGCAGTTTGATGTTCGAGAGACACGGCTGCCAACCCACAGAGGCTGAAGGACAAAGGCTCTTTGCTGCGGATTTTGGGAACATCTGGAACATGTCCGAGTCCAGTAGCACCTCCAGAGATCAATGAATTTTTACAGTGTGTAAGCCTTCATATGTCAAAGCTCAATTTGTCCAATAAACTGAGCTCTGACTCATAAAAGCTTATACCCTGGAAAAATCTGTTGGTCTCTAAAGTGCAACTGGACTTGAATTTTGTTGTGCTACTGCAGAGTAATGCGGCTACTCACCTGAAACAATCTTCTGAAGCAATGCTTTTTTGAAGAAAGAGACCCTTTGTGTTCCTCCCTCCCTATGCTAGGAGCCCACCCCCCATTAGTGGCATGCAAAGCATCTGGGCTGAATATCTGCAGGCTCCTCAGCAACTCTTGTGCCAGTGATGGTAACGGGGGTGGGGGTGGAAGGCCCATCTGGGCGCACAGCGGGGGCAGCCGGCCTCCTATGAGCAGAGCCCTTTGTCTGCACGGCCATGACATCTTCATCTGTGGGTTGAGCTGCCATGGAGGTTAGCGACCCAGGCCTGGCTTAACATGGGGAGCAGCCCTAAAGCCACGTTCAGTTCGTATCTGCTCAGAAGACCTGATAAAAAGCTGCACTGTTCAGAAGTCGAAAGCCAAGAGCTCAGGGACCCCCGCAGGACAGAGCCACATTCATACACTCTCTAATCTATCAGCACATCCCACGTGGCACTGGCCAAAGTCTTCTCTGGTCAAGGCTGCATCCCGCACTACATTCCAACACCCACCAGCTGCTGTACATTCATGCCCCAAACAGAGAACATCGTCAATGCTGGATGGGGGGGAAAACCAGACCAGTCCTGAACACTGCCGGCAGAGGCAACCGATCTTGGACAGGGCCTGCCACAAACCCATCCTGGGTCTACGTGTTCTTACATGTGTGTTGTGTGCTTGCATGCATTGCCACCACCCCAAGTTACAAAACCCTGCCTTTCACATAACTAGTGCCTTGGGGAACCCCTGGGAAGGCTGCCTCTGAAAAAGTACAAAGGGCAGAACTTTCCAGTCACTTCACCCACCCACCCCTGATGCATGTGTGTCTATGTGTGTGTGTGTGACCTAGGTGCATCGGGAGGAGCTGAAACACAGTCTGCTTTCTTAAACAGGAAAGAAACTTTATTACTGTAGATTAAATTAGAGCAGACGTGGAAAACAGCTGTCATGCCTGTCTACAGATCTAAGGAAAATAACATAAACATGGGTCTAAGCTTGGCTACGAAACAAGACAAACACCCCTGACGGCCCGCCTTGCTGTCGGGGAGCAAGTACACTCCCAGTCCCCCTAGTGCCCCTTTGCAGAGGAGTCTGGGTCCCAGCGGATGGTCCCAGCATTTGAAACAAAGAACAAAGGAAGATTCAGCCTTTCAAACCCTCCTGCTTTCTTGGGTGGGAACCTCTCCCAGTCCAGATTCAGGGGACCTGCCCCACATGAGCCGATACCCCAAACCACCTCCAATCATGACATATATCATGTAGCTCAAATCTTGATACCTCAGATCATGTTTAACAACAGTCATCTAGCCTGTCCCTCTGTCAAGTAACCAAATGGCTACCTCTGAACTGAAACGCATCTCCAGCCCTCTCTGACCTCCGGGTGCAATTTATTGCCCTCTTCCTTGAGAAAATAAACTGCTGTTACAGTCTCAGGAATTCCCTGAAGCTCCTCACGGGGGCCTTACTTTCAAGTCCTCCAAGACTCAGTCCCAGAGCATGTTTTGAATTCCAGGGACAAACCCCAGGACCCTTATAAATAAAGCCATTTCAACTGGGCTTAGGAAACCTTCCAGTGGATTGTGTACCCTGTTGTTAGAGAAATAACACCATTTTAGAACATCTGTCTTTGCTTTCAAAAATGTCTTCCACTGGCTCAGAGCTCAGCAGACGGTGCAGAAATCACATAATTACTTGGTCATGAACCTGGCTGGCAGAACATTTCACACTGCCTGCTAGGGCTACTGAACATCAGTGGCTACTACCCATTGGTGACTAACGGGAGCCTCCACAACCAGAGGCAGTAAACCTCTGAATACAAGTGTAAGGGCACAACATCAGGGGTAGATCTTGACCTCTGTGCCCTGTTGCTGGGAATCCAGAGGAACTGGTTGGCCACAGTGTGAGACAGGATGCTGGACTAAACGGAGCACTGGTCTGATCCGGCAGGGCTCTTCTTATGTTCTTAACTAATTAATTCTGTGATCTCCTGATTACAGAACTGAGTTCCCTGGGGCAGAATGGCAGCTTTAGAGGGTATCACATATCAACTGAGCATCTTCCTGTCCCCAGGCACTGTGCCCAAATCTCCAGGAATTTCCCAAACTGGGGATGGCATGCCTATCGCCTGCTGAAACCAAGTTGAATTGTAAGCAGTGTGCAGCTGTGCTGTCAAACACAGACCCTCTATTTACTCTGCAGAAAGCCACGCAACGCATATTCTCATACTGCTAATTTGATCATGTGACTTAGCTTTTAATCGGACCCACGAGCTGCCTGATCCAGGAGACCGGGACTCCCACCTCTACCTCCTCCTCAACATTTCATTAGCTCCAGAGTACGCAAAACGTTAACTATTACCCATTGATTTTGGTACTCTCACCAAATGCTGGCATTTTTTCAAGGAAGTGGTTTCCATATACTAGAATGGAGAAACATCCTTCTGGGTTTTTTTGTGTATAGCACACTGAACCCCACTTGAACATAGATGTAATTTTGCCATATGCTAAGAGAGTCTGACTCTCTACTCTGATGGCAGCAGGTCTCAAGTGGGGAAAAGATCTCTCCCAGCTCTGGCTACTGGAGTTCCTGAAAACAGAGATGCTGGAGACTGGACCTGGGACCTTCTGGGTGCAAAGAGCAGGTGCACTACCACAGAACAACAGTCTGTCTCCAACCAACAGGAAGGACAGCAGCTGACAGTTGTCAACAACGGGTGGAATTTCTCCTTTATTCCCAGTACTAATGTGCTGTGCTCAAGGGATTAGTTCAGGTCTGGTTCAGAAGCTTTCCATCTAGTCATAATAAGCAGCATTTTTAAGACAACCAGAACTAGCTTTAAGCAGCCCAGCCATGCTCCCAGCGATAGTAGTGAAAGAGATTTCTTCCTAGTATTACTTAACCACGGGTGGTTGTGGATCTCAACAAATCCACTAGGGTTGAACAGAACTAAATAGGTCAGTCAGGTGGCATCTGGAGCACTAAATGCTTTTGGAGGGGCATCAGCTGCTGCTGATTTATTTTTTACAAAGACTTTCCTCTTCTCAAGACAAGCTATTCCATCCCGGGAGTTTAAAACAGCTCACGGAGCCACCATACACTGTGTCTGACTGCCGTTCTACTATGGTCAACACTTTTAACTGTGAATGGCAGCAGCTTCCTAGGGTCTCAGGAAGAGGTTTTTCCTTTTACCTACTTTTGATCCTTTTAAACAGAGAAGCCAGGGATCCCCGTATGTGCCATGGAGAGCCTTGTGCTCTGCCGATCAATCTGCTGGTTGTCCCCAGTCCAAGGGATGTCCGCTTAGCCACGACCAGGGTCAGGGCTTTTTCTGCCCTGGCCCTGGCCTGGCGGAACATGAGATCAGGGCCCTGCGGGACCTACTGTCGTTCCGCAGGGCCTGTAAAACAGAGCTGTTTCCCCAGGCTTTTGGTTGAGGCAGCAGGCATCCAGTGAAAAGTCTGCCTCCCCTGCTGAAGTCCACCATATCTATGTGGCCCAGATCAACTAGACCTCAGAGACCTAGCGACACCAGCTCTGGACACTGTGTGCACTAACAAATAGTGCAATCTGTTTTAAATTATTGTTCTTAACTGTTTTAATCTGATTATCAATGTATTTATATTGTATTTATATATTGTGATGCCAAACGGCTCCGTAATCCGTCCTGAGCCCACTTGTGGGAAGGGTGGAATATAAATCCGAAGAACAAAATAATAAAATAAAATCTGGCCTAAAAACTTTTTTTTTAAAGGCCAGATAAAGTTAAGGAAGGAAAATCTGAAGGTGAACTTAAAAAAAAAGAAAAGAAAAGAAAAAAGCAACAGATGTATTTGGTAGACTAATATTTTGGTTTAAATGGGAAGAGGTAGATGTAAAGGCTTGCCTAACTAGAGAACCTAGATACTATTGCTGACTTATGAATTATTATCAAGATATATGGATTAATTGGAAAAAATGAATTTATATGTAGTACCAAAATTGTATTGGAGAGAAATTAGCTGTTACTGCTTGGATTATGCATTTATGATGTATTTGTGGTGTAAAGGTGGTGGGTATGTACATGTTTAAAAAACCCAATAAAAATATGTTAAAAAAATAATAAAATAAAATAAATAATAAACCTGGGACCTTCTGCATGCAAAGCAGATGCGGCACCGTTGAGCCATATCCCCCCTTGAAAGGTGTGACAAACCAGTGCTCCAGGCAAACCATTCACTGACCCCCATTTTTTTCCCAGCCTGGGCTTTGAAAGAAGGATTAATTCATCGACTGGGTTTGAATGATGTGAAGCCTGTGTCCTCTTTAACCCCATATCACAGCGCAGATGGAGCAGAAGAGTCAACTGCAGCCAGGAACCCAGGTGCACCTCTCCTGGGTTTCTCCACTGCTGCACCATCTGGGCTCACAAAGTCCCCTGAGACCATGACTCACCTAATGAAGTAGCAGCAAAAAATGAGGCTAAGGACGAAGACGAAGATGCCGGTGCCGAAAATCACCATGTAGATGTTCAGCGGTAAATCCTGGAAGGTGATGGGAGGCATGGTGCAGGATTTGTTGGTATAAATCAGCCCCAAACTGCAGAAGCATCCTTGGAGCAAGGGAAGAGACAGAAGACAGATCACCAAAGTGAAGACAGGAACGCAGAACATAGGAGGAGGACGGTTGTCACCTCAGCAATAAATTTCAGCCATCTCTTCTCCTCCAACGTAATTTAGTACATACATTGGGGAATAGCCAGAACTGGTTGACGTATTTAAAGAATTTATATTCTGCCTTTCAACATAAGATGCCCTCAAGGTGGCTTGTATACAAAACTGATAAAGAATGGAGAACATAAGCACACAGGAGGGGCCCTGCTAGATCCAATCAAGAGTCCATTTAGGTCACTATCAGATTTCCGACAGTGGCTAAACAAATGCTCCCAGAAGTCCATTTATATATTTAGGCATTTATATCCTGTTTTTCTCTTTACTGGTGACCTAAAGCAGCTTATAACAGCCTCCTTTCTTTCACCTCTGAGTCTAGGGTTGCCAACCTCCAGGTGGGAACTGGAGATCTCCTAGAATTAGAATGGATGTCCAGGCAAGAGAGATCAGTTCCCCTGGAGAAAATGGCTCATTTGGAGAGTGGACTCTATGGCATTATACCCCACTGGGGTCCTGCCTCTCCCTAAACCCCTCCCTCTCCAGCTCCACCCACAAAATCTCCAGGAATTTCCCAACCCAGAGCTGGCAACCCCACCTCTGACGTACAGGTCTTGAGCAGTATCAATCAATCCCAACTAGGAATAAGAGGAAGGAAGAATTCAAGTCAGAGAGAGCAAGCTATACCCTGTTAGAGATGATGTCTTGTCACAGGCTACCTGAACTCTAATGGCCTGAACAAGGAATTCAGCTAACAAAAGAATATTTGCTGGCTAGAATCCATTAATAATGTAGCAACTAAAATATCTAGGGGAAGGTCATTTCGCTGGCACAAAAGTGGTTTGAACCATTTCTCTAGCCTCCCTACGCCATGAACATTTAAACAGAACGTATTTCACATAGCTTACAACATTTGTCTCCCATCTTCCATGTTATCCTCACAACAACCATCCTGTGAAGGTTATGCTGAGAGAGAGTGGCTGACTGGAAGTCAATCCACAAGTTTCCATCGCATAGTGGGGATTAAAACCGGAGCCTCCCAGATCCTAGTGAGACACTCTAACCACTACGCCATGCTGGATCCAAAGCCTTCTCTTGCTGTAGTCTCCCACAGCACTGCTATGCTAAGGCACACGGCCTCTGAACATTCACTGCTGTTGGTGCACTGCTCTTCCATTTGTCTAGTCCCTTTTAAAAGTGAAATAAAACACACACAAATCAATGTTAAAATTCACCAATAAATAATAATTCGGAAGCAGCAAAATCACACGCATATGCATGAGAATGTGATGAGAAAACAGCAGCATCAAACTAGAAAAAGAAATCTTCATTACCAAAGTATCAGAGAACAAGATGGCCTTTGCATGGGGCCTAAATGATGGCACCCAGTAGCATGATTAGTTCCAAAGTTCCAGAGCTTGGGCCATCACAGAAGAGGCCCTCTCTTAGATAGACACTTTTCTCATTTCTGAAGGTTTGGTTACAGCATACTAAGACCACTGAGGTTTGAATCCCCAGTCTTCCGTGGAAGTTTGCTGGATGGCCTTTGGCCAGTCACACCCTTTGCCAAACTTACCTCACAGAGCTGTTACTGTACACTGCCCCTCCTTCCTGTTATATGCTTTTGTTTAATTGTTGTTTTTTAATTTTTAGAAAGCTTGTTTTAATGGTTTGGACTGTTCACCACCTTGGGGACTCTAAGTGGGTCGAAAGGAGGCACAAAAATGGTTTAAATTTATTTATTTTTATTTACATTTGTTACGGTTTGCCTTTCTCACTGAGAGTCAACGCAGACTAAACAGTGGAAATCAGTGCAATTGACAGAATAATACATTTGATAAACTAAGTAATAGGGCTAGGATGAACAGAAATCTCTGGGAAGAAAGCTTAAGTATTTGACAAAAATTAGCATTGCCGAAAAGTGGAATTATGTAGGTAGATAAGAATGTAGGAAGAGCAAGATAACACATACAGCAAACAGATAATATATGCCGCACAGAATAGTGTAGCCCACAGTCCTGTTCCCTTTGTTAAATCACCTTCTTGGATCATAAATAAATAAATACACAACAATAATACTGTGAGAATAAAATGGAGGAGGAAAGAAGGAAGCTGTGAGCCACTCTGGACCTACGCTGAGGGAAAAAGGGGTATAAAAAGTCAAAATAAAATTATAAAACAAATTCTTCAAACGATGACCTTAACTGATGGCCAGGTTCCTGAAAGAGAAAGTGGTCCTTTAGCTATGCAGGCCACTGGAAGTCTAACTGCGAACAGTCAAAACCAGTCCTCTGAACTGAGTCTGGCAATGAACGGAAAATCACTGAAGAGCTTTGAACAGCAGCACAATATGCTCATAGTGCTAGTAAATAATGCCCAGTCTCCCCAGCAGTTAGTCCTCAAACCCGATCTCTATCCCACCCTTCCTCAAAGGAGCCCACGTAACCCAGCATGGCTCTCTTCCCCCTCCATCTTAGCCTCACCGCAACCCTATGAGAGAGCAACAGGCCTAAGGTCACCAGGCAAACGTCCCTGGCTGAGGGGAAATTGAATTCAGGGTCCCCCCTCCCATCTTGGTATGATGCTTTAACCACTACACTGATTGGACCAGACAACAAATGAAGTAGGATGTGAAGAAGAGAATGGCACCGAAGACCGTCTCTTTCACTTGGTAAGACCAGAGGTGCACCTTCACCCCATATGGGTGCTACATCAACATAAGTGCTTAAGTGAAGCAGCCACCTCACACCAGACTATGCTTTTGTACTACATCACACAATATTTTGAGGACAGCAATTCACTTCCTCCAAGATGTTCAGAATGGCATACAGGGGTCTCCCCTCTGTTTTGCTTCTAACAACAATCCAGTAAGGTAGGTTAGGCTGGGTGACTAGGCTGAGGTCACCCAGAGAGCTTCCATAGCTGAGTGGAGATCTGAACCTGGGTTTTCCAAGTCCTAGTCTCACACACTAATTACTGCACTCAAACTTCGTTCTCACATCTGTCTGTTAACTCTTGTATTTGTATGCTAATTTACTGCCATTCACAGATCTTGCCAACCACCTCAATCCAGTCTCAGCTATAATTGCTCAGTTACTTAGGCATCTTGACTCTAACTAGCCCGTCCTGGCAAATAATTCCCCCCCATATGTAATGGTTGAGGGAATTCTGTTTTCACTGTATCTGAATAATTTATTTATTTATTTCTTCAAATTGGTACCCCGCCCTCCCTACCTAAGCACGCAAGTACACTTGCACATGAAAGCTTATACCTTGAATAGAACCTTGTTGGCCTTAAACGTGCCAATGGACTCAGACTTTGTTCTACTGCTTCAGACAAACGCAGCTACCCACCTGAAACGAAACTACACCTGAAACTAAACTACACAGTCATCAGTCAATCAGACAGTGCTTTTACAGGCTTGTGTGAATGAACACTGAGCAACCACCCACCACACTGGCACAGAAGGCATGGCATCAATTCCAGGCAGCTACAGATAAACATAATAATTGTGTACTGTCAAGTTGCAACCAACTCATGGCAACCCCAGGCCCATGGGGTTTTTGAGACAAGAGATGAGTGGTGGCGGTTTGCCAATACCTTCTTCTGAACAGCAACCCTAGTTTCCCTCCGTAGTCTCCCATCCAAGTATTATCCACAGCTTAGCTTCCAAGCTCTGATGAGATTAGGCTAGGCTGGGCTACCAGGCTGCTACAGCTACCCCTTTAAACTGGTACAACTATTTTATGTTTAAAATAAGCAGAAGTCTTGTGGCATCTTAAAGACAAGGCTTTATTCCAACATAAACTTCCACAGCCTGCAGTTTTATTTTGGAATAAAAATTTGTTGGGTCTTTTAGGTGCCTTAGGACTCCTGTTCATTTGCAGCAGCAGACAAGTCAGGCCACCCTTATTGAGACTGCTTCAGACTAAGCACTCTACAGAGAATCCTGCGATATTGACTCTTGCAAATGGCAATAACTAATACATTAGCTGTTCATCTACATGTGTGCTCATGCATTCCGACACTCAATCCTCCATACGCTAGGCTGATCAGGTAATGTAGCTGAGTCAACAGCCGAATAGGTGACTGATCAAACATCTGAAGAAATCAAAGGAGGTATCTTGCGCTCACTGCCTTTGATCTTGAAAAGACAACTGTACAGCAGTGCCATTAACTCAGTCTCCTCCCAAACTGTTCTGCCTGGAGCAACGAATGGGTGATCAAGATGACCTCTGAGACACACTCCTTCATGACTGCAGTATGACTGGCTTGGTCATGACCACAGCTGATCCATAACCAGAAGCTGAATTTTGTATGCACTTATGTGCTGCAAAAAGGCAAAAACCCCTGTAAGGTTTTTTGTTTTTTTGGAAGGGGGCTTAAAAGAGCATGGGATGATTTACTGGGAGGGAACACATCAGCTTGTTGCCCCCACAACTCAGATTGTTTGGGCTAATTCAAAGAGGGCTAGAGAGAGAAAGACGGGCCAAAGCAAACTATTCGTGACTAGTCCATCAAAGCAAACTGCCCACATCTCCTGGAGTCTCAGGGTAAGGACGGCTATCAAAGGCTCCTATGGGAATGTACTCCAAGCCCAGTGCAAACTTGTTTGGCTCAAAACCAGATGGTTCAGGATGCAGCAGGAAACAGTCATGAATTATGAAAGGGAGGTGGTAAATTGTGTGATATGAGCAGAAAAACTGTACTTGCCTTCAAATAATAATAACCTATTTAATTTTTTTTTCTTATGAGAGAAAAAAATCTCAAAGTACCAAAAACATCTATGCAGTTATTTAAATAATATGTAATTAAATATCCAGAAAAATGAAGAATTCAAAATTCAACCATTTTTATTTATCTTTGACTGGGCTGCTGCTGGGGGGTGGGGTGGGGGGCAGAATATGTAGAAAGCGCAGGTTTGAATGTAAGAAAAACT